CAATACTCTTGGTACCAGCAGGCAGGAAATAAAAAGATGAGTTACACTGGGAAAAATCTGCTGTCAGGGACCTCTCCAGAGTACTGAAGATCAATGATATCAGTGTAGAGATTAGGTGTGCATGATTTAGGCCATGGTCTTCACAATTACTTGCTATGCAACAGAGATCTGGACAATGACTGAGGATGAAAGAAGAATTTATGCCTTTGAGATGTGGTGCTGGAGAAGAGTATTGAATATACCATGGACTGTTAGGAGAACAAACAGTTCTGCCTTGAGAGGGTGAAACCACGCTGCTCTTTGGAGACAAGACAGGACAGGTCAAAGTTCAGATCTGTAGTTCAGAAGGTCACTGTGTGTCATAGTCAATTTAGTGACACCTAATAAAAACAGTAATATATGCTTTATTATCAAACTCTAGTGACGTAGTCTGTAAGAAGTTGCACTACTACTCACAGCTAGCACCTCTTCAGTAGTTCAAGTTCAAATCTACAAGTGGTTCTAAAGGAGAAAGATGGGCAAGCTCCTCCTGTGCAGTTTCCAGTTTTCAAAAACTCATTGGAGTGGCAGCTACGAGTCGGTTCTAATTCAGTGTCAATGGATAATGTACATTATTATTTATGAATATTTATATGAGGAACACACAAATATATATGTTGTTATTGTTATTCTGTACCATTCTGTTTCTTGTGACGTGTAGCAATCCTGTGCACAATTGCTCTGATCTCTGCCCTATCCTGAGCCAGTCTCCATGGCACTCTGTGGTATGTTCAATACTCTTCTCCAGCACCACAATTCAAAGGCATCAATTCTTCTTCTGTCACCCCTAGGCATTGTCCAGCTCAGTAATACATAGCAAGAAATTGCTAATACCATAGCCTAAAACAGGAGCACCTTAGTCATCAGGCTGACATTGTTGCTCTTTGGCACTTTGGAAAGGTCCCTGACGGCAGATTTCACCAGTGAAACTTCTATTTTGATTTCTTGAATGCTGATTCCAAGAGTGCTTATTGTGGATAGGAGCAAGTTGCAATTGTTAACAACCTCAGTCTCTTCTCCTTCCATCATAGTGCTGCAAATAGGCCCAGTGGTAATAAATTTGTCTTGTTGATGTTGAGTTTAAATCCTTATTGTGGACTGCAGTCCTTGCTTTTCTCCAGCAAACACTTCGAGTCATCTTCAGTTTCAGTGAGGAAGGTTGTGTCATCTGCACAAAACAGGTTGTTGATGAATCTTCCTCCAATCCTGATGCTACATTTTTCCTTATAAAGTCCAGCCTCCTGAATGATCTGGTCTTCATATAGATTGTAAAGGTGTGGAAAAGAATATATTCCTGACACACTTCTTTCTTGATTTTGAATCATCTAGTGTTTCCTTGTTCTGTTCTGAAGACTGCTTTCTGGTCCAAGTATAGGATTTGAATGAGCACAATGCTGTGTTCTAAGATTTGCTTCTTCTCAATGTTAGCCACAATTTATTGTGATCCACAGAGTAAAATGCCTTGACATAGTCAATAAAACACAGATATTCCCTGGCACTCTTTGCTGACAGCCAAGCTCCCTTTGATGTTCCAATAATATCTCTGGTGTCACGGCCTCTCCTAAACCTGGCCTGAATTTTTGGTAGTTCTCTGTTGATGTACTACTCCAGTAGTTTTTGGATAATCTTCAGCAGGATTTTACTTGCATGTGGTATTAGTAATACTGTTCTATAATTTCCATAATTTGTCAGATCATGCTTTTTTAGAATGGGAACAAATATGGATCTCTTCCAGTCAGCTGGTCACATGGTCGTACTCCAGATTTCTTGGCACAATGTGCTGAGCACCTCCAGAGCAGCATCTGTTGAAATATGTCAGTTGGTATTCCCTCAATTCCTGGGGCCTTGTTTAAACTTTTCCTTCAATCACTATTGCCTCTTGATCATATATTTTTTCATGAAATTCTTCCATGTCAGCCAATTATTTTTATATACATATTTTA